TGGCGGTAATGCACCTGATAAGCTGGTCGCCAACCGCCATTGAATCGGAAGAAGAAGAAGAATATCAATGAATGGCGCTTAGAAGGAGGAGAAATGTTTAACAGTGATGATGTCATGGTTGTGGTCAATAAAAAAATGCATTTATGCATTTATGCTTGAAGCAATGTGGTGGGTGAAAATGGTTGCAAACAAAAAATCGGATGTGGCAAGAGAAATTACTACTGCAGCAGAACAGTTGCTGGGATTTAAGGGCATAGATCCAAAAGAGGTATGGGAGGCTACCTACTCACAAAATAAAGACGGGCACACTGTAAATGAGGGACAGGAACTACTGCTGGGAACAGATGAAGAAGAGATGGACAGCAGAGATGGGGATTATGATGAGGATTAACTTCACTTTCATAATGTTTTACATCTTACAATGGAATGCCAGGAGTTTAACAGCAAATGGGCAGGAATTAAAGAAAAGTTTAGAGGAATTCAGGGAGATGCCAGAAAACATCTGTATTCAAGAGACATGGTTAAAACCAAACTTGGATTTTAAATCAGTGGATATAACAGTTAGAGGAAAGATAGAGAAAACAGGACAGGAGGGGCTGTGCTACTTTTGTCAAAATGGGAATACAGTATAGAAGGAAAGAAGTTGAGACAGATTTGGAAAGTGTAATTATGGAGGTATGGACCAATAGGGGAAAAATCACTATTGTGAACCTATATAATCCAAGTAATAATCTGGAAGGAAAGCATTGGCAGGAAATAATTGACAAAATTAGCGCACTGGGTCTGGGTAGGGGATTTCAATGCTCATAATGAGTTATGGGGAGGACATGATAGAGGAGTTTAAAAATAATCTGGTAGTGTTGAATGATGGTCGACCAACATGGTTTAGGGAAACTCAATCAATTTCATCTGCAACAGACATCACAATGGTATCAGCAGAATTAGCAGCAGTAAGTGGATGGGAAGTAATGGACCAGTATGTAATGGGGAGTGATCACATACCAATTATAAGCAAATTTGGAAGGTGTTTGATGGAGGCACCAGATAACCTCACTATGGGATTTAACTTTAAAAAAGCAAATTGGATAAAATATCAGGAAAAATTAAATGAAGAAATAGGCTTGATAGACAGTGAACATTGTATAGAGGAATGGAATAGAGCATTCTCCAAATATATATGGTCAGTAGCAGTTGAGACGATCTCTAAGAAGAAGGTCCCTAGAAGAGGCTCTATGGTCCCTTGGCGGAATTAAGAGTGTAACAAAGCTGTTCATGCCAGGAATAAAGCATACAAGAAACTAAAAAGGTACCCATTAGAAAGCTATGCAATTGAATATAAGAAGTTGAGGGCCAGAGCCAGAAGGGTCATAAAAGAGGCTAAGAAAAAAAGCTGGAGAGATTTTTGCTGCAAACTGGGGCCTGAGACCTCTACAAAGAAAATCTGGAACATAGTTCGCAGAATGTCTGGGATGTGCAGGCAGGGCAGACTACCTGTTCTTTGTCATAATGGAGAGGAGGCTATAAACAATAAAGAGAAAGCAGATATGTTAGTAAAGCAATTTCAAAAAGTTCATAGCTCAGACAATGTAAGCTAGGAAAATAAAAGAATAAGGGAAGAAGTAATAACAAGGCAAATTGATAAATTGCAGGAAAATAATGATAATTCAGATGCTATCAATAGTTATTTTACATTAGATGAGCTAAAAAGAGCTGTAAACCAAGGTAAAGACACAAGCCCAGATGGACTAGAGTATCAACTGTTCAAACATGCAGGAGTTTTTGTTTTAGAGGAATTGCTAGTACTTATTAAGAATGTGTGGGGGTCTAGCAAATTACCCAAAGAGTGGAAACATGCAGTAATAATCCAAATTTTGAAACCAGGGAAAAAAACCGAGTGATCGGAGTTCTTACCGACCAACAGCTCTGAGTAGTATGTAAAATCATGGAGCATATGATAACATCCAGATTAGTGTATATGTTGGAGAAAAGAGAATACTTTGTGCCATACCAAAATGGGTTTAGGAAGGGTCGTTCAACAATGGAGTCAGTCAGGAACTTGGATTTAGATATAAAGAGAGCAATAGCAAACAAAGAAGCAGTTGTAGCAGTGTTCATTTACATCGAAAAAGCATATTATTTTTTTTTGAGAGAAGGACTATTAATCACTTTACATGATGCAGGTGTAAGAGGAAGACTTTTTAATTGGATTAAGGTTTTTTTTTTTATGCAACAGGTCAAAGCTGGTAGTGTGTTATCGGAAGAGGTGGAAGTGGAGAATGGCACCCCCCAGGGAATGTGATCAGCCCTGTAGGCTACTCTTCAACATTTTAATCAGATGATATTTGCAGATGATGGAGTTATTTGGAAGCGAGGAAGGAATCTCAGTCATATCTTCAATAAAATGCAAGGAAGCCTGGATAAAGTGGTTGATTGGACTAAAGAATGGGGATTTAAAATCTCTATAGACAAAACAAAGTTCATGTTGTTTGGGTATAAAAGGAAAATGCCAGATAAAGGTTTGACGATCAGTAGCCATACTCTAGAAAGGGTTCAGAGTTTTAAGTATCTCGGAATGTGGATGGATGAAAGAGTGACATGGAAAACACATGGAAAACACATATAGAGAAATCTGTGGTAAAATGTGAAAAAGTAATAAATGCTTTAAGATGTCTGGCAGGAACTGATTAGGGGGCTGACAGAGAAACCTTGCTGATGATCTACAGAGCAATGATTCGATCTTGTATAGACTATGGGTGTATAGTATATGGGTCAGCAGCACACACAACACTGAAAGCACTGAATATTGTGCAAGCAAAAGCCTTAAGAATGTGTAGCGGAGCATTTCGAACTACCCCAGTTTCAGCTTTATTGGTGGAAATGGTAGAAATGCCATTGGGAATAAGGAGGGTTAAGCTTGGGCTCAAATATTTGATGAAAACAAAAGGGCAAGATGAGTCTTTTCCAACTAAAACACTGTTAGACCAACACTGGGAATTTGGGGGGAGGAAAAGAAGAACTAAAGTTAGTTTTGGAGTCAAGCTAAAAGATAATGTAGGAAAAACAGGCATTCTGGAGAAGAAAGTATCTCCCCCAGTCTGCTGGTCAACTATTCATCCATGGCTTTTTACAGAACCTGAGATTGATATGAGATTTTTAAATAGTAAGAAGAGGGAAAAGGACGAAAACATCGTTAATAAAATTCAAAAGCACTTGCAGCAAAAGTGAAGGTCACATTCACAGATATATACAGATGGGTCAAAAAAAAGAACAAAGTGGGAGTGTGGCAATTGGCATAGCAATCCCCCAGTTAGAAGTAAGAAAAGGCTATCCACCTTATTTTTCACGGAAACACGGAGGCAAAACAGAAGGCAGCCAGCTTCCGTTTTTTGTGCGACACTTCCGGTCCAACAGTGTTACCACTGTGTAAATGGGAATCGCCTTCTGGTTTACCTTGCTGAGTTTAGCTATATATATATGTATATATCACATTTTTCACGTCACTATATCACCGTTTAGACTAATCTGATGTTTGTAAAGTCTATAAACACAATGACTGAACAAACATTAGTATTTTCTCTGTGTGTAATTAATAACATGGTTATCGTAGATTAGCTGGGCTAACCGTTAGCTGTTAGCCGTTAGCCGTGTCTGTAATAACTCACTAAACTCACAAAGTGGCCCGTGAAAAAAATATTTTC